CATGCTTGTGAGTATATATTCAATTACTAACGTTAGTTTGACGTTCCTTATCTCGATTGTCTAAGTGAAAGTAATTGATCAAATTATTTTACTGGGAAACAGACAAAATACCAAGAAACTGCCTCCGCAACGCTATCCATTTTAAAGAAAACGCTCTATGCCTGTTCATCTCGTTCAATACCGAAGTCTTCCGTCTTTGCCATAGCCTACTTGTTTGATAAGGAACCCTGTGCTTCTACGATCCTTCCCAGTCGCATACACATTGCTTTCACTGTCTCTCTGGGCCACCAACTAGTTTAGATACGGACTACTCAAGGTGCCTTCTGGTCATATTTATATATACTACAGGCTGATGGGTCAATGGGCTGCAGTATTTAATAGTGTGTGCATCATGTGCAAAAAAAATTATTGGGGGGCAAATTTGTAGTGGACTGCGCCCCAGCAACCGTCAGTAACTATGGCGCTCGGCACAGCGATATCATTTTTTATACTATAATGATGTGTCTAATTTATTAATTAGAAGGCTATGCATGATGTTACAAAAAAGCTATGCACACATGACGAATAGTAACTCTTTAGTATAAGTTCTTTGTAAGATTACAGTAAAAAGTACTAGCTGTTTTCTACACTTACACTTACCATACGCGATGACGAGTATAACTGTGTATGCGATGGGCTCGAGGGTGCCCAGCGCCAAAGCTCAGTCAATCGAGCAGCAGATTCGGTCATGCAAATACAAGTTAATATTAGCGGCATGCGCAATGACCTTCTTATTCATCCTTATATTACATACATCCGGCAGTGTATACGATATGTCTGATAACAAGCACGTATTGCCCACTAAAGTTAAGAAGATCACGCACGTGGCTGCAAACAGAGACTACATGCGCAACGGCGATGACGATACTGTACATGTAAAACTGTTTGAGAAGCGCAAGCCGAAGTCGAATGATCCATTTGATGCGGTAAGGAACGGAACCCAAGTACACATAAATCCCTCGTGTAACAGAAATCTCGATAGAGTGTAAGCTTACCTACTGACACTACACTGGGATACTGTGATGTCGGTTATATTCTTCGTACAAAGCTGCTGAAGTGTAAATTGTACATCGTAGTCAATGCCTAACACAACCAGTCGGTGTATCGCGCAGCTTGGTCTCTCATCTCTTGCACTGAGATGGAGGGTTGTTGCTATCGGACTTAAGGACGAACAGGCACTCCTATCACACCTGTGTATATATCTCATTTCTTATGCGTGTTGACAATAGAGCTTGCTTGGTTTATTGATAATGTTAAGGCGAGCCAATCTTCTATAACATTCATGCACTATACGGCAGAAACACAAGACATCGTCAGACTACTCGCCTGTTTCACTTCAAGTCTGTACTGAGGACTAACACTTCAGTATGGATTGGCATATATTCGAGTATCAAATTATGGGCCACAACTGATTGACCCATCTGTTCTCTCGTAGCATATACTTGAGTGCGAAGATACGCAGTCACGTTGGTGTATATGCTGACCAGAAATTGACTTGCTATGGTCAATCCCATATATCGTATACGATGTGGGGTTTGTATGGGTCGCTCATGCTTTCACTCTGTGTACCAGTGCACACGATGACATCACGCCAATAACTTCAAATATCTTGTCAAACATCGATGCCAGAGCCTGTCGATGGTTGTACATAGCCATGTGCATATGAAAGAGCAATCCTTGGCATATGGTCGTAAAGACTCGATATCGTCCCGAGAAGATACACTCTTTTTAGACGTGTGCAGCTATGTACGTGTAAATATGGACTGGAATAGTCATATCGTTCATTAACATAGTGTTTTAGGAACTACATGTGAAAATGTTGATACCTAGGCATCTTCACAGAAACGAATTCGTATGTGTATTAAAGCATACCCACAGCGTACGGCAGCACTTGTAGATACATCCACATATGTGTTTCATGAGTGTAGTATAAACAGCTCACTTACAAACCAATCACCTTTCAATCTTTCATAGTACATAAAATAGAATACTGGCGTGTAATTGCTTGCCCCAATGGATCTCACAAGGTAGTATGCCATGAACTCATTCCAACATTTAATTCCAGAACTAAAGTGATATTCAATGCAAGCGACTTCAGGAATATATACACACATCAGTGCTGAGTAGTTAGATACATTTCTGTGAGAGAGGGGAAGGTGTTGATACGGCGACACCTGAACGTGACTAAGGTGTAAGGAGTATTCTATGAGCACTCCGCGTGCCTAAATTAAGACCTTGTGCGATAATCTGAGAGTTTACCTTTGTATTCAATGGAGACATATCAGCTATATCTAACGCCGGCCAAGGGTAGACTATGTATAGCCACAGAAGAAAGGGGACACGACTTATGTATATTAGTAAACCTTTCATACTAAGTATATACTCAATACCTCTCTATCTCACTACTTCAACACATCTATAAATAGATATCGTTTGATATGCCGATGGTTTGACTCGTACGCTGTATCCGACATGTGTGTGCTTGCCTACTTAAGATACAGTGGTGTTGCACTACTGTATGGAAGCATATAAGTTTATAGGTATTGTTAATACGTAAGGTCTCAAGGTGGATAATCAAAGGCTTAGTATGACACTATGATCGTGAATCGTAATTATTCCAGACACTATAGACTACACAGCCTTTGTCATAATCTCAGTTGAAAATATGAAGTTTATGTAATATCCAATGGCTCTTCCTTTCTTCTCATATATCCCGCTCTGTATTCAGACGATACCCCGGTGGTGGGCGAACCGGCCCGAATCAGATACCTTCAAACACCCACATCCCCCCGCACACGCGGTGGACGGGGACAAATTGGTCCTAGGTCTAGAAACAAGGACAGTCTTCAAGAGTGGCAATGAGGTGCAGTGCGAGGATTTGGACATAGGGATGAGTCATGAAGGCCGCTTGTTTGGACAGGTCAAAGACCTCTGGATGGACGATGATGGTGTGTTGCTTGTTACAGTTGTATGGCCACGGACAGGGTGTCATCCGTGTGACTATAGGAGACGAGTTGTATGGGAGTGGAACTGACTGAGCAAATGCAAAGAGAAGGTGACAATCAATAGCGTAGTATTAGTTAGACTTAGTTACGTATAGAAATATAGATATATGTTAGTACCTGTGTATGTACGTATACTTGGGGTACATCTGCTGATACGCATACAAGCCGGGTGTATAGTAGTCTTAAGGGATACGTACCTTGTTCCTTTTACTGTATATGAATTATATTCCGGTGTAGTTTGTTGCTTGATTCGTAGCGTAGACATACTTGAGAGCGGGGCGGGAGAAGGGTGCAGGACACCTATACGAAGCTGCACAAACGAGCTCATATTCACTGCCCATCGACTCCCTTACTATACATAGTTGGGCATATACACTCGCAACTGTTCAACAAGCTATCACAAACTCAAGATACCTGAAAAACAAAACGACCACACGTTGCAAGTACGTACATATAAACTTCCTCTCAGTTGCACGGCACAAGCACGTGCATATAAACCACCTCTCAGTTGCACCGTACATGCGTACATACACATCTGCTCACATTCGCACACACTCATTGTATGCGCTGTACTAATTTATCACACAGTATAAACACATGCATCTACGTAACTCACAGTCGTATGAACTCCTTGTCCCTTACGATACCACACCACACCACAATTCAATCCTACACATACACCCTGCTCACACTCGCACCATTCAAACAACACACACTTCTTGCACCGTCTTTCAATCCTACACATACCACTGCTCACACTCGCACCCTTCAAACGTCTGCTCACACTATCACACACTTCTTGCACCGTCGGATACCACACCACCACACAGTTGTGCTACTGCAGATTGGAGCCAACGACGGACGCACACACGACGACCCCATTTACAAACACTACAGACGCGCTCGTGCATGGCGTGGTGTGTTTCTGGAGCCAATCCCCTACTTCTACAACAAGCTACAGCGCACATACGGCCAGGCTGAGCTGATGAAAATCAGGTCACTCCTGCTGAACTACGTCGTGGCCGATAAGGATGGTAAGTGGTGGTTAATTATCGTACACGTGTGTGTATGTGTTCGCGTGTGGGCGTGTGGTGGATGATGTGTTTGGTGTGGTTCCATGACACATCCCTAATGGTTACAACAGACTATCGCGCCCATAAGGCCGGCCTAACTGATGGCTTAAGTGATGTGGTGAAATGAGGTCTCCTGCGTTCAACCGATGCAGTGCCCGACAACGATGGTGTGTTGTTCGTGCTAGAGGTTTACACGTGCATACATGAGTATCAAAACGGGTAAGTGTTTGTGCCGAAGGTCTCTGCTAGCTACAGTTTTGGACACTGATTTTGAAATGATTACAGCCTTAGGGACTGATTTTTGAATAGAATACAGTTTGCAGGACTGATTTTTGAAAAGATCTGGACTTTATACTGCAGTAGTGGACATTGTTATATACACCCGTATACGTGTGCGTGCACATACAATTACGCCCGTGCATGCGTGAATGCGAAGAGTGTACTTAGTACTTATCCATGGTAGACTAACTCTTACTACCAGGCAGGCCGAACTGGTCTCGGTTGTTGTTTGCTGATCGGTTGGTGGATAGGGTCTGCATGTGTTCATTTGTTCTTCGTTTTTCGTCTGTACGTATGTGCATGAATATACATGTATTCGCGTATGCATCAATGATTATATGCCTGGTACTCATGTTTCACCAGGCTGCAACGTACTTGTGTTCTATGCGAGCGGGGCACGTGGTCGCCTCGTACTGAGTACATTGCGTCAGATACCATTCGTACACTGTGGTCATTTTGCTTATTTGTATATACCTCCATCTGAATTATTGCACACAGAGTAGAGGAATAAGATCAGACATCGCGTAAGGTACCATGGTACGCACGCGGTGGATGTTAATGACATAGTGTAGACAGAATATCTTCAGGTAGTATGCATTAAAATGCAAAAACCTATCACAGGGCCCGGTATATATATATATATATATATATGCATATATATATATATATATATATATATATATTATACATATATATATATATATATATATATATATATATATATATATATATATATATATATATATATATATATATACGTACTACTAACGTATACTACGTA